AATAAATAAAAATTTAGATAGTTGACAATAAAGGCATTAAGAAATCTGAATATTAAATATTTGATGATAAGAATTATCGCTATTTAAAATGTGCTACTGTGGTTTTAGTTTAGAGGCAGTTAATGAAGGCCTTTGCTGATGAAATTATACAGGACCTGAAATTAGTTCCAAAGTCATCAGTGAGGAGCTCTGGGGAGTTGAGATGGAACACGGGTGCCTGGGGTTTGACTCTTGTCCCTGCTGAGAGATGGGGCCTTGCGTTATTTTCTCAATTGTGTGTCTGAAATTTTGTCTTTTTTTTTTTTTTTTGACAAAATCTCACTTTGTCATTCAGGCCAGCCTTAAACCGACTACCCCAGGATGGCCTCCAACTCATGGAGGCCCTACTGTCCCAGCCTCCCCAAGTGCTGGAATTAAAGATGTGTGCCAACACACCAGACTGAAATTTTGCAAATTTAAAGTTAGAAAAAAAGTTGAATGATACCATGAAAAGTTATTCCCTTTGAAACACATCGAGAGTGAGAGGGTGTAATGGTTGATACATTGTATCCACTTGAGGACTGAGAAGTTTAGAAGCTTAATTAAGTGACTCAGCAGGGCGCTAGGGTCCTCACTTTGTACACATCTTGAGCCTCTGCAGGAGGACAGTACAGAGATGGTGTGGGTGATAGCTTCTGCCTTTTGCTCTTGTTGCTTTTGCTGTTGTCTGGTGCCATCCCACCCTGCCTTGGAGCTAACTGATTATGGACTGAAACTTCCACAAACTGTGAGCTAAATAAACCTTTCCTTCCTTAAATTTTTTTTATTTAAAGAGAAAAAAGAAAGGACATAAAAAAAACAAAGCAGTAAAAGGGTACAAGTAATACAGAATTTCAAGAAAAAAATATACAGTAAGAAATCACTAGTGAATAGGTTACATATTGTCTTCTTAGAAACAGTTGTCTAAATTATAAAATTAAAGCATATAAAGTGGACTTTCATACAGTGAGATTGGAGATAGTTCCTTTCAATGATCCAACAAAAGCTCAGTAATACGGTTTTCCATCCTACACACTCAAACATACCTGCAGTTATATCCCTTAGTCCACCTTCCTTTCCTCTCTTTTTTACAATACAATTACACTTTTTGGGTTTTATTACTCCCACAGTTCTTATTACTTTTTTTGAAGAGAATAAAACCCAACGTGATTAAGCAAAACAGTCAGTTAGAACAGAAGGATGGGCATAGTACATGATGCAAAAATAGAATGCCAGGTGATCAAAAGTGGTTACCATTCCTTCCTTAATTTTGGATATTGGGTATTTTATCTCAGCAATGAGGGAAAAGTAATCAAGATGGAGGGAATCTCTAATCCTTTTTATAAAGTGAGACTGAGAACTTTTAACTGTCAATTCATAATGTTTGGCTCAACATTAGTAATTATTTAAAACGCATTTTTTTTTTTTTTCTTTTTGAGACAGGGTCTGGCTTTGCAGCTCAGGCTGGCTTTGAGCTCACTTTGTAGCCCAGGCTGGTCTCAAATTTGCAATAATCCTAGTGCTTCCAAATGCTGGGATTGTATAATTTATGATGTAGTATTTGTGTATTGCGTGTATTTGCCTTTCTCTTCTCTCTCTAGAATACCTTCTATTTACCTGTGTGCTGAGAGTAGAAGCCAGGGCCTTGCACATTCTGTGCCAATGGTTTATCATATCCCAGCCCTTGGAGTGACTTCTATTCTGGCATCAAAGAAGACAAGGAGCCAGGTCTGTTACTGGGTGCACCGTGATTTCCTGGGCCCTCTGCACTGTGCCCAGCACGGGCTCGAGAAGGCTCTTTTCTGTGCTTTTCATCCGTCTTCCAGCTCCATGGGCTCCACAGTGCACTCTCAGAACCTGTCCCCACTCGGAGACCGTGAACTTTTACAGCATTTCACACACGTGCTGCTCACAATGAGGTCTGCACATAGTGCTGGCGTCAGCAGGCAGCAGGTTAGAAGCGCAGAGCTCGGGTCTCCGTGGCCAGGGCCCAGATCTGCTGGACACCGCAGTGCAGGTGTGCAGCCTGCCAGCCTCTGCTGGAATGGGACCGAGCCCCTGCTCTGTCTCTGCTGGAGATGGTTCTTCTCCTCCACTGACTTTAGTTCCCTTTGAGTAAGGAACTGTATTTATTTTAGATGTATTGATTGCCCACTCTTTATAACCATGCTTTCTGGTGGACACAATTTTTGATCATCTAAATATTTCTCTTTGAGATTATAAGTGAAACGTTACAGCTTTTCAGATTATTTGTGTACTGTGAGACTTAAATAAGTTCAACAAGGTGATCACCCTGAGGACAAGTATAACCAGGAGCTCTTCCCCCTAGGTAAATTGTGGAGGCATGCACAGTGTGGAAGCCCTTGTTAACACCTCAAAATATTAATGGATACACTGGCATTTTTTAAACCACCCAATTTTTGCCAGGTGTGGTGGTGTACACCCAGTATTTGGAAGGCTGAAGCGGGATGACTGCCATGAGTTTAAGGCCAGCCTAGGCTACATAGTGAGTCCAAGGCCAATCTGCACTACATACCAAGACCTTGTATAAAAAAACCAAATGTAAATAAATTAATAAAGGGATCTTTTTAAAAAATATATGTTAAGTGAATAATAGTATGGGGTATTCCAGTAATTGAGGATTAGGAAAATGGTGGATTAAGATTTCTTTCTTTAGTTTTTTGAGATAAGAGTCTTAGTACAGTCTTGCCTTGAACTTACTATGTACCCCAGGGCTAGCCTCGAATCATGGTAATCCTCCTGCCTTAGCCTCGTAAGTGTTGGGATTAGAGGTATGTGCCACCATACCTGGCTGTTTTTCACTCTAGTGTGGAACACAGGTTCAAATGAGACTTACAAAGTCTTTCTGAGCCTTCCAATTTAAAAAGATACTTTTCAAATGGTCTTTATTTATCCTTGCTTTTTCCCCCCAATGCTCCTATTGATGTCTTTGTTTATTCTCTGCCTTTTCCTCAGACTCACTGAAATATAAGCTTCATGAGGGGAGGTTTCCAATGTCATTGGTTTTCCAGAACAGTACTTGCACAACAGAGGGACACAGTACTCTCTGGCCTCCCACTCTGTCAGATCTGTGAGACACTCCATTCCACCACACAACCCTTCCACTAAAAGAGGCCTTTGACCCCTCCTTAGTGTGCTCATCCCCAACAAACCACTTGTCCAAGCGGATGGGTGACACTGTTGGTTGCTACTGGGTCATATGACCAACTGGAATCTGATCTGGCTCTTCTAGGGCCGCATAGCTAGAAGCAGGGAAGGTTGATTCCTGAAAAGACATTTGCTATTGAAAGAAGCAAAGAAGGAATGTGGGTGGGAAAGAACAGAGGGAGGAACATACATTCACCATGACTATCTGCCAATTAATTTGCACTAAAACTAAATGGGCACCATGGAGGAGAAAGCAAACTTAGAAGGTTAAATCATTTGCTAGCTGGAAGGTGAGCTGAGACTCAAATCTGGGTCTTGTGGGCTCTAGAAACAGTCTCACAGGTACCACATCTCTTCACCCGTACTATTCAAGTTCTACTCCTGTGTCACCTTCAGTCACGCACGGAGGATTTACTGACATATCGCTTGTGCTTCTTTACTCAACCAGTGTTGCTGGACAGCCGCTTAGTACCCTGTGCAGGCCAGGCTCTGCCCTGAGTGTCTGTCTTTGTCCCATTCTCATCTTTCTCCCCTTTTTCAGGCCTCTCCATTAAGCTGAAACTCAGCTCTTCTTCTATCCCTTTCAAGTCTTCCTTGAAGACGTAGCTGATTATTTCAACACAAATCCCTGTGAACTCTGAAACTTACTGGTATTCTGGCCAAAGACTGGGGAGGAATGGAAAGGAATTGAGGATAAATGACCACCTATACAAATCCAATGTAAACATTTTTAGCTGGGTAAGTCCTTGACAGGAGGCCTGAAGAATTGTTGCTGAGGTCCAAACATACTGCACTCAGTCAGTGCCTCTCTGGGTAGCTAAAACTCCCAAGAGTGGCTGTTAACAAGTTGAGGACAAAGACTCTGTCCTAACAGCACTTCCTTAAAGATCTGTCCTCTTGCATCTCAACACCAAACACGTGGTAGGTGCATGAGCAAAGTATGTTCAATCAACTGGGCATGGTGGCCCACACCTGTAATCCCAGCAGTAGGGAGGCTGATGAGTTCCAGGCCAGCCTTAAAAACAAAAAGGGTTGAATTTGTATTGTGCTTCTTCTGTGTTCCAGAGTATGTTCCATGGCTTGCTTACTCAACTGACAAAAATCTAGATTATCCCAGTAAAAATTAAGGAGGGCACCCCTCAGAGAAGGAAAACAATAATTTTCTTTTTCTTTTTTTTTTCAACAGTAGTTTTTATTTAAAGAGAAAGAAAGAAACAAACAAAAACCATGGATATAAAGAAGGGTAGAAATAATACAGAATTACAGAAAAATAAACGGTAAGAAATCACCAGTTGATAAGTTACATATTGTCATCTTAGAAACAGCTGTTCAGGTTACAAAATTAAAGTATGTAAAATGACAAATAGTGACACTGCCTATAGTTCTGCTCAATGATCTAACAAAACCTTAGTAATATGGTTATCAGTCCTACACACTTGAAAACAAGAGTTTTCCTTCTCTACACCATTTTTTACTGATTTCCTTCTGCTGTCTCTCAAAACATTTACTTTTCATTTAAGAACACAACACAAATACCCGCCCCTGTTAAAATTAGTTACTGCTGCATGGGATGGTGTTAATCTAGGTATACGTCATCTGAGCTCCTTTCACTCAAACCAGTTATTCAAGTCAAGGTACTTACAACAAAAATGCTGCTTTGGTATATAGTTTGAGCAGCCTTTTGGTCTAGGATGATTTGTACTGTATTTGTACAGCACATTAAGCTTTTCTCATATATTAAAATATCAAACTTATTTCAATTTCTTAATAAATTCAAAACAAATCTATGATATGAGTTTTTTTTTTCTTTTTAGGCTGATAAACTTCGCGTGAACGACTAGAGGCGCGCCTGGTCTCTTTTGAACTCCTTCGGCCACCGTCGTTACGTCACCTCCTGCACGCTTTTTCTGCACCTGCGCATTGCTAGAACACAGTTCTTTTCAGTTGTCGGGAAAGGACGTTGGTGTCGAGGTGAGTCGGGGTCGGGTTTGCTTTCCACACTGGGGCTCTCACAGCTGCCACCTCTTGCACTTGGCCTATTTCAGCCATCGTGACTCCGCATCCGGCAGTGCGGAGCCCCGTACTTATCCCCTGCGTCGACCCCCGCACGGCCTTTACCGCTGTCTTAGGAAGATGGGCTGAGGCGGCCGCGGAGTTCGGCGCCGGGGGTTGGGGTGAGGGTCGGGGCGGTCGAGGAGGCGGCGGCGGCGGCGGGCTCGCTGGGGGGCCGGCCGGGCCGGGCCGGGTTCCGGCTGCGCTTTTTTTCTGGTGAATGTGACCTTGGCCAGGTCATTTGGCCTACCGGGTCCTCGGGTTTCATGTTTTCTTCCTCAGGTAGCCTGAGGCGTGGGCCTGCGTGTGGACGAGACTCCACTGACGCCGTCCCTTGTCGGTGTTGGCGGGGTGGGGGGCGGGGGGCACCGGTTTGCAACGAGAGCCGGCAGCTAGGGGACGTCGCCGGCTGGTCTCAGCCTCGGTGCTCGCCGCGGGTTTCTGAAAGGCCGCATAGTAGGGAGATGGAGCCCTCGGCAGCTGCTGGGTTCCCTTCTGAGTATGAATGTTTTCCGTGTACCCATGGCAAACTCGGCGTAACTCGCCGTGTCACGGGTTGTCCTGAAAAGGTCTTGAAGGGTGAATGCTGTGTATGCGTTTGCATCTGTGACAGTAATTGCCAGAGATCTGCATCTGTGGTTTTGATGGTCGGTTATTGGTTATGCCAGTTTCCGTGTTTATTTGGGAGTAATCCAGCAGATGGGAGGCCGGTACAGGCTAAGCCATGCAACACCTTAGGTGTTGTGGGAGTCGATCCACTTTAGCCCCGCGTCGTACATGTGACTTTTTTAGATCTCTTCCTCTGCTCTGACGTGTTTTGTTTTGTTTTTCCTTATTTTACCTGTGCAGGACAGTAACGACCATGAGTTCCAGTGTGGTGGCGAAACCTCAGATGCGGGGCCTTCTGGCCAGGCGTCTGCGGATTCATATTGTTGGAGCATTTGCTGTCTCCCTGGGAGTTGCAGCTCTGTATAAGGTACGTGTGTTTGTTGTTTGCTGTAAGATCATAAAGTGTTTTTCGTTTTAAAATTTATTGTATTTACTTGGTTTTACTGTTTTGAGATAGAGTCTTGCTGTGTAGTTTATGTCTTAAACTTGGAATCCTCCTGCCTCAGCCTCCTGAGTGCTGGGATTATAGGCATGAGCCACCATACCTGGCTTTAAAAAAAATTTTTTTTGGAGGGGTTACACCATGCAGTTCAGGCTGGCCTTGAACTCACTATGTAACCCAGGATGGTCTTGAACTCAGCATCCCAAGTGCTAGGATAATAGGCCTGTGCCCACTACGCCCAGTGGTTTTTTTTTTTTTTTTTTTTTCCTTTTTATCTGTACGGAGGATTGAACTCTGCAAGACAGGCACTTATGGGGCTGGGGGTTTAGCTCAGCGGCATAAGCACCTGCCTTGCAAGTGTGCGGTCGTGAGTTCAATCCCTGGTACCGATAAAAATGAAAAAGACCAAAAAAAAAAGACAGGCACTTATGCCGCTGAGCTAAATCCCCAGCCCCCTGGGTTTTTTTTTAATAGAAGGTAGAGTTTGAGCCTTTGAATATTAGAAAGATATGTTTTAGTTTATATGTTTTTTTTTTTTAATTAAAAAATCTTTTTTGGAGGCAGTGGTCTTGCTGTGTAATTCAGGGTGGCCTTGAACTCAATGATCCTCCTGCCTGAGCCTCCCAGGTAGTGGAATTATAGCAGTGTACTACCACACCCAGCTAGGGAGTCCTTTTAAAAAGCCTTCTGGTGTGTGTAGGGGTTGTGGTCTGGAAGGATTTTATCTCCCTCCCGGCATCTCCCTTGATTTCTTTGCTTCCCTCCCACCCTGTGAGGAGCTGCTTCACCTTGGGTCTGCTATGCTGTCCTGCCTGGAGCCAGCCAACAGTGAACTAAAACCTGTACAAATGGAGCTGCTTACTTTCATTGCTGAAACAAAATATTCAACACCTATGGCTTAAAGGAGAGGTTTATTTTGGGTCTGAGTTTTTGGAGAGTTCGGTTCCTAGTCAGCTGTCTTGAAAGCATGGTGAAGGCCTGAGCAGAGGACAGCTAAGCATTCTGTGGCAGTCAGGAAGCAGGAAGCATGGAGAGAGGAGTCGGGGACAAGAGTATACCTTTCTAGATTGTCCCCAGCAATCCACCTCCTAAGGGCTCTTTTAGCTGCTGAACTCATTGTCACTTTCCACAAGTTCCATCTGAACACAGGCAGGGGGTTTCTGTGCATGTAAACCAAAACCACAAAAGGAGGGGGAGCACTGAACAAAAGCACTTAATGGGCCAACCTTTGGGACCCTCTGAAGAGGCGAGCGCAGAGTCACCTATTGGTTGGTCCTGAGATCCCTGCTGTCTGGGCCATGAAATAAATGTTTATGAAAGAAAGGATGAGTAGATGAGAAGCTTGGGGAGTTGCTTCCTTGCCTCTGATGTCACTTTTTGTGCACTTTCAGGCCTTTATAATTTGAATGGATTCTTGCCCCTTTCACTAGTAGCCACCAGAATAGCCATATTTGCTTCCCACTCTTCAGTGTACGGTGGTTTTGGAACTTTTGACCTACTTGAGAAATACATTTTTCCATTGGATTTGTTTTTGTTTTGTTTTCTTTTGAGACAGAGTCTTTTTATGTAACTCAGGCTGGCCTTGAACTCTGCAGCAATCCTCCTGCCTCAGCCTCCTGAATGTTGCATTTACTGGCTATATGCCACCATACCTGGCTTATAATTTTGTATTGTGATTCAGTTAACATGCATACACATATGTATGGAGAGTTTATAGGTATATCTGTACGTAAAACTAAAGTAGTTTGCCACAAAATGTATGGTGCCCTGTTAATATTTTTGTTTTCCGAAGTGCTAGCTGCAGACTTTTAAGTTGATTTTGTGTCCTACTCAAGGGTTATGGATGGCTTGGAACACACTCCAAATAAAGGCTCATACTAAAAGTTACCCCTGGTTCTAAGACCTTTTCTGGTATATTCTGTCTCTCCCTTTCCATTGTTATCCTCAGCACTTACAATGCATTCAGCTGACAGTGCTTCACAACCGCGGTATTTTATGTTACTCAGTTCTGCTTTTTCCCATGCTTATCACCATGCCAGGAACATCTCTTATCTCATTCCTATTGAGGCCTGCTCAAATGTTCTCTGGAACAGTGCACACCCAGTGCACTGGAGAGGAGGTTGGTTCTGCTCTTCTGGGTTCTCAGGCATTTTGTACCAGGTGGTTTTATAGCATTGGGCAGGTTGGATTTTTTATTAAATTGCGTTTCCTCAATTTCAGTTAAGAGCTGGGTCCATGCCAGACTCAGTCCATTGTGATGAAAAATTTAAAGTTTGGTGATGACACTGGTAGTATTTGATTGGAAGGGAGATTCCCAAAGCAGTGAGGAATCCAGATTCTTGATAAGTCAGCTGTAAGGTTTGGTTATCTTAGTAGAAGTTCATCTCCTTTGTTTCCCCTGTCCAGGTAGTGCTGAGGTTTGTGTTGTTTCTTCCCCCTAAATTCCAAATCTTTGCTTATTTTCACTTTAAATTCCAAGTTTTTGCCAAGTTTTTGCCTGTTTCTGTTTTCTGAGAAGTTTTGCCAACTTCTCTGTTCTTTACGGGAAGTAGGAATCCGGTAAATCACTCTGAAGTTAGTCTGTAATAGGCTTACATTTATGAATTAGGTTTAAGATGCAAAAGGGCTGGGGGCTGGGGATTTAGCTCAGCAGCATAAGCACCTGCCTTGCAAGCAGGCAGTTGTGAGTTCGATCCCCGGTACCGATAAAAAGGAAAAAGACAATAAAAAAGAAGGAAAAAAAAAAAGATACAAAAGGGCAGCATTTACATTAAATGTGTTTTTCTTTAGGTTAACTGATTACTGTCATAAGATAGGCTTGTTTTAAATCCGTGGGTATTGGCAATAAGATGTTGCATGTTGATTACTTTATAGTTGTTACTCATAACTTGGAGAGGACCCCCCCCCCTTTTTTTTTTTTTTTTTTTTTTTTTTTGAGACAGGGTCTCACTCTGTAGTCTAGGCTGGTCTTGAACTCATAGTGATTCTTGGGAACCTAAACAAATAGTCTATATGCATTTTTTTTTTTTTTTTTTTTTTTTTTTTTTTTGTTCCTTGAAGTCTATATTTTCCAGACTTTAAAAAAAAACCCTCTCATTTAAAGTATAATAGTCAGGTATGGTGGCACACACCTGTAATCTCTGCACTTGGGAGGCTGAGGCAGGAGGATCATTGCAAGTTAGAGACCAGCCTGGGCTACAAAGTAAGCTCAAGGCCAGCTTGAACTGCATAGGGAGACACTGTTTCGAAAGGGAAAAAAAAATGTAGACAAAATTATAATTTATTTTCATTTCTTGTTTACTAAACAGTTATTTTTTACCTTGGTGTTTCATAATTGTTTATTTTTCATGTTCTAACAAAATGCTCATCATTGTAAAGTATTTGTGTGTGTGTGTGTGCGCGCGCATGTGCGTGCATGTAGATGTGTGGAGAGCTTAGGAGTTGTACTACCTTTCACCTGTAATTTGAAGAACCTGGAAGCTGCTGAGGTCATGCAGTCTGAAGGTCTGAGAACCAGGGAGCTGATGATGTACCTCCCAGTGTGACCTGGAAGAAAGGGGCACTGCTGGTCTAAGTCCCAGAGTTGGGAGACCAGTAGTTTCATGAGGACCACAGCTAATTAATGTGTGGCCCAATTTAAGAGAGAATTTACCCTTCCACTGCCTTTTTATTCTGTTCAGGCCCTCCTCTTCTGTTCAGTTTGGTGAGGTTGGATCTTTGGTCTACACACACCACACATCAAACATCATCACAGACAAACTTGGAGACAGTGTATTACCAGCTCTGCCAGCTCATTGATGCGTAAGATCAATCACCAAAGCTAGCCTAAACTATACTGTGAGACCCTGTCTCAAGAAAACTGGAAGAAAAAAAAAAATCACTGCATATATTGATAGGGCCCTGCCGACTTCGGTTCAGGGACTGAGGCTTCTTTCTTTTGCTCTATTCCTAGAAGAAATTGAGAATTTGAATAGGAAGTGAAACAATAAAACTGATCTATTAGCAGGCTCCTGAGTGCATTATTTATCCAATAGTGTGATTCTGTGCGTTTTTCTAACACCTTCACTGATGTGGACTGCCACTTGAATTTGTACAGTTTTTTTATGTTTAGCTTGAGATTCAAGGTTGTATTATTACTCACCCATTGAAATCCACTTAGCAGGGTTTAGTGCAGAATAAAACTTCACATGTGACAAGAGATGGGTTTGAATTCTGCTCCAGGGGTTGGGGATATAACTCAGCAGCACAGCACCTGCCTGTCAAGTGGGAGGTTTTGAGTTTGATTCCCAGTACCAAAATAAAGATTAATTCTGCTCCAGCCACCTTCCAGCTAGTACTTCCTAGACTTTAATCAAGTTAAACTCCACATTGCTCTCTTCATTTTTAGAATCTTCTGTCTGCTCTTCATTGATCGCTTATGGAGAAACTACAAAAACAAATTTTAACCACATGATGCCTCTCTCCCATGCTGCAGTGTTAGCTATTTAAAGGCTTGCTTTCTCAAAGTATCCATTACCTCAGGTCCCTTTCATTTGTAAAAAGGGTCAGCGCCTGCTTGTAGATGTTACACGAGTCATCTCAGATTACTCGTTAGGTAGTAAAGGTTTTGTGCCTTTCAGAGATGTGTGGTTACCAAATCAGGCTTAGACTCATTTGAAACTTGGGTTAAATTGAAGCAGAGTTTCTCAGCTGTAGGGATATTTAGGCTTTGCTTGGAGGGAAGCCTGTTTTAGTCAGATAACTTAGATTTTTGGGTATCACCCTCTGGTGTCAATCTCTGTATTTCCCTCCCATCAGACATACGAGCCACACACATGCAGTCGACTCTGTGAAAGGTGCGGCCTGTCCCTGGGCAAAGAGGGCTGCTTTTGCTGTGAACTTTCCACGAAACGACTTTCTGTTCCTTCCTTCTCCTGTGTCACCTACTCCTTTTTGTTGAAAGGTTCAAATTAAAGGATGAACAAACACAAGTATATTTTTATTTATATTGTCTTTAGATATTAAATTTCTACCCTACAAAAAAAACAACAATAATCTTGTTATTTTCTAGTTTGGTGTGGCTGAACCAAGAAAGAAGGCATATGCAGATTTCTACAGAAATTATGATTCCATGAAAGATTTTGAAGAAATGAGGAAGGCTGGTATCTTTCAAAGTGCAAAGTGATTTAGGAATACAAAGGTAATACAGTTATTTGAAATTTTTTTTAAAGTTATGTTAAATGTGCTGTCTTCACATATGAAATGTACTATCTTAGCCATAGAGTTTTGTATTAGCTACTGTACCTTTGTATTAGTAACTAGTTTTCAGAACTCTTCATGTTATAGAACTGTTACTGTATACCTGTTAAACAAAACTTCTCTTCCTCTAGACCCTGGTAACCTGTTTTACTGTTTGTGATTGGCTTCTTTTACATAGTAAAGTATTTTTGAGATTAACCCATATTGTAGTACATATCAGAATTTCCGACTTTTAAATTCTGCCTGGGGTCAGTCTGTCAGTAGACACTTGGATTGCTTTGACTCTTGACTGCTGTGAACAGCTACTATGAACATAGGTATACAAAAGTCTTCATGGCCCTCGTTTCAATTCTTCGAGGTGTGTATTCAGAAACCATATTGGTGAAGCATATGATGGTTCTATTTTTAATGTTTAAAGAAATTTACATACTGTTTATCATGGTTACCCCACTTTATATTCTAAGCAGTACTAAGGAAGGGTTCCATTTTCTTCATATGTTCACAAACACTACTGTTTTTTAAAATTTTTTTTCCTTTAATAGTAGCCATTCTTATGTATGAGATCTCTTAGTGCTTTGGGTTTTATTTTCCTGAGCATCATTTTATGTGCTTTTATAGGCTATCAATTTCCTTTAGACCTGTATTTGTATTTTCTCGGCCTTTTGGCCAAGATGGAGTATATATATATATCCTGTTGAATATATTGGGAGTTATTTTTTAATTCAGGTCTATTACCTGCTTTTGAATTAGGGTGGTTTTTGTTGTTGTAGTTCTTTTAAACATTCTAGATACTGACCAGAAATGGTTGATTTGCAGATTTTTTTTTAGTTTCATAGGTTCTTGGCAGAAGTTTCACATTTTGAAGTGCATTGTACTTTACTTAGGTTGCATATGCTTTTGATGTCAAATCCTAAAATCTTCACTAAGTCCAATGTTGTGAAGCTTTCTTATGCTTTTTCCTGAGTTGTAGCTTTAGCACTTCACATCTTTGATGAAGTTTTTCTACATTTTTGTGGTACTGGGGATCACGCGTTCAGCATGTGCTTTTCCACTCAACTGTATTCCCAATGGTCTTTAATCCATTTTGAGATAATTTTTGTATGTGGTATAATGTAAAAGCTACAAGTTGATTCTTTGCATGTGGGAACCGTGTTTTCCTAAAACCCTGTTAGGACAATTAGCTCCTCACCATTGAACAGTCTTGGCATGCTTGTTGAAAATCGTTTCTGGGCTCTTCATTGGATTGTCCTGTATGTCTACTTTCATGTCAGTACCATGCTGATGTCATTATGATGGGTTTGTAACAAGTTTGCTATCAAGATGTGCATGTCTTCCAACTCTTCAGTCCACTAACGTGGAGTGTCTTGCATTTGTATCTTTAACTCCTTCCAGCCACACTTAGGAATTTTCAGTGTGTCTTTCATGTTCTTGGTTTAGAATTGCAATTTTGTTTTTAGTATGTTTACAGCTTATCATTTCTCGATACCATCCTTGTGTTTACCTGTTCTGTAGGGTTATGGCTCAGTTCCCTTTTTATTTTATTTTATTTTTTTGTTTGCTTAACTGTGCATTGCAGGCATAACTTGGGCAGCACATTTGTTAACTTAATATCCCAGGTATCACTCAGGCCAGTGTCATTTCAACCATTTGATTCTTGTATTGAATAAACTTGATAAAACCATCAATTTTTTTATAGTTCCTGTTATTAAAAATTAGTGAAAAAATATGCAAGTTTTGGTCATCCTACAGTTAAATAATGTACTGGAAAGTGGCTAAACTTAAAACAGATTTAACTTATATTCATACAAGCACTCATTTCCCCACTGTCCTGCTTTATTTTTGTCATAAATTGCATCTTTACATGTTATGATTTATGGATGCTTCTTATGCTTTGTGTTTTAAATCCTGTAAGAGAATTAAAGCGGAGTTATGAGCCAGTATTGCAGTGAAGGCTTTTGTATTTGTCTTTTTACCAGAGAACTTTATACTTTCCGTATCTTTAAATTACTGTTTTGTTTCAGCTTAAGGTTTCTCTGAAATAACCCTTATTTTTATTGCATTTTTATTATTTTTTATTACATATTTGTCATACATATTGATCACATTCATCATAGGAAATTTGTGCCTGTGTGATGTATCTCCCCCCCTGCCCTTCACCCCTTCCTCTTCTCCCTGTTTTCAGTTTTTTCCATTTCTTTTTTTTCCCTTCTTCCCTTTCCCTCCCTTTTTCCCCTTCCTATTTGAATGTTGTCTTCTTAACTTCCTAGTATCTTCCATTCATTTTGGACCTTATTTATACTTTTGGTTTCTCATACAAGAGAAACAGTGTGATATATAGACATGTTTCTGATTTATTTCTTTGAAGTATATCTTCCAGTATAGTAATAAGCTCTCGCTCTTTCAGCTTAGATTTTCTTTCTTTGATTTTTTTTTTGTGTTTTTTGAGACAGGGTCTCACTTTGCAGTTCAGACTGGCCTTGAGCTCACTTTGTAGCCCAGGCTAATCTCAAACTCGAAAGGATCCTCCTGCCTCAGCCTCCCTAGTGCTGGGATTACAGGCGTGAGCCAGCACACCCCGCTCTTTTATTTTTATTTTTTATTTTTCTTGAGATAGGATGTTGTTATTTAGTTCAGGCTGCCCGTGACCTCATTGTGTTGCCAAGGCTGGCCTTGAGTGCCAGTAGCGATCCACCTGGGTCAGTCTCAGTGCTGGGATTACAGGTGTGTGCCACCAGACCTCGTTCTTACTTATTTTTGAAGGTAGCTTTTCTGTATGTAGTGTTTTAACAGATAGTTTTCCCCCAGGACTTTAAATTTATCACCCCTCAATCTTCTGGCCTGGAAGAGTTCTGGCAAGGCTCCTTCCTTCGTGGTGAATCATGTTTTTCTTGCTGCTTTCAAGATTCTCTTTGCCCGTTTGACTTGGAGTTTGTTGAGTTGGTTATATTTATGTTCCATTTTTCAGACTTGTGAAATTTTCAGTCATTATTTATTTTTTCAAGTAACTTTTTTCTCCCTTTCTGAGGTTTCCATATGACAGGTTGGCACACTTGATGGTGTTTTACAAGTCCTTTAGGCTTTGTTGGCATTGTTCTTTGTGCTTTTCAGGCTGATGCATACCAGTGACCCATTTTCAAGTTTGTGGATTGGTTTCGAATCTGCTTTTGAGTCCCTTCCCCAACCAAAGCTTTTCAGTTTATGTTATTGTATTTTTCAGTTTTGGAATTGGGTTGGTTCTTTTTAATTTCTCTGCAATGAAATTAATTTTAAAAAGTTTCTGTATTTTCATTTTTGCTTTCCTAGTTTTGGGTAGGTGTCCACTGTTAGCTCACTCAGCATAGTTAGGACAGTTTTAAGTTTTTTTGAGACAGGGTCTTCCTGTGAGTGTTGTTCAGGCTGGCCTTACACTGGCTGTGGAGCCCGAGCTGGCCTTGTTTCTGGAGCAAGGCTCCTGCTTCAGCCTCTGGAGTGCTGAAACTACAAGCATACACCACCAGACCTGCTGGATGGTTTTAAGTTTTTATCAAATCAGAGGCCAGTATTTTTTAAATTTGGTGTGTGATTTGTTTCTTGGAATAGGCCTTGTTTCCTTGTTTATGTCTCGTAATCTGTTAATGTGAACATTTGGGAAAATAACTACTTCTCTGTGTAGACTTGCTGTGTGCCTGGGAAGACCTTCATTAACTAGTCTGGCACAAAGGCTCCGGGTTCTCTCTGTGAGGATGCATCTTCCCTACTTAGGCATAACTTCTGTCCACTTTCCCTGCATGTATACACAGTTGCTCTTTAGCCTTCTTTAACTTTCCTAAGTTTCCTCCTGCTGGTTGGAGTTGAAGGCTCCACCATATTCTACCCATAAATTGTGTCCGCCGGTGCCTGCAATTCTACCCCCCCATCCTCCTGCTGTGGCATCACCACTCTTTCTTATTTCCCACACTTCCCATCAGTGCTCCCAGCTCTCAGTAAGACAGAAACCGGTCCCTAGGGCAGTCCCAGAGGAGCCAGCTCAACAGTCTGTCCTGAGGGAGGGGCTGGGAATTGGGTGGTTTCCTCCTGACAGCACTGTAGTGTGCGGTAGGACACACAGGAGCAAAGATGCCCTGAATAGTGACGGTGGACCTTCAGAGCTTTCAGTGTTGCGGACAGCCTGTGTGCTGTAGGCTCACCACCACTGCTCGAAGTTTCCTACCTTCCCAAGTTTTCTCAGCTAAACATTCAGTTAGTTGCTATGGCTTAACTGGTTTTTACAGTTATTCTTGCAAAGTGCATTGGGCCATATACTGTTCCTCATTGTTTCTGGGAGGAGTGTAGGGGGATTGGTCGGTCCATAGGTTTGAAGTCCACTCTCTGTTGCTTACATTTGTTTAAAGTTATGATTTATGTTCAAAATCATTTCACAGTTTTGCTATTTGCTGGGTTGACAACATGAAAAACGATTTTCTTATGAGTGACTTCTAAAAACAAGTTTTTTGGATTCCCTTTATAATTTTCAGATGGTTGTCTGGGTTGACTGCCTGGCTTTTTTCATACGTTCTGGCTTAGGCTGTCTTCCAATAATAGGTCCTTGTTGCAGGGACAGTATGTGTTAAGGTTCTGAATCTAAAAAAGCACTGACTGGTCTTCTAATGAAAGATCATCCACTGAATGGAAAGGCAATTATCAAATATCTAATTAGACTTCATATTTTGGAGTCCTAGGCATGTACTGAAGCTCAACAAAAAAGCAAGTGGGAACAATTTAAATGGTTAAAGAATATCTACTATTTTGATCTGGCATGGAGAATGGGCCCCTGCTGTTTAGGCATCATATTCCTCAATAGGCATGTCAGGTGTGCTAAAAAAGATTGTGTATGCATCTTCCAAGATCTGGGGTGGGGAAAGTCTGTTGTACTGGACTTAGATCAATCTAGACTACGAGGGACTTTGATTTAATAGATTGGATTCTATAGCATTATGTGTTTCATTGATCTTCAGGAAATACTTGAAATGTAGATAGGTGTGTGTATTTTACAATTCTATAGAGGAATAGAACTTTTTTCAATGGTTGGAAAATTGGTTTTTTTTTTAGTACCATGGGCTATGTCCATTATCATTGATACTCATAAAATGACAAATTATAGAAAATTAAGCATGTCTTACACAAAATGTGTAAATAATTGCACAGAAAAATACAGAAGGAGATTTAAAGAAATACTAATAGTTGTGTTTATAATGTATGAGAATATTGTGGAGCTGTGAGAAAGAATGGTGGGGGTTAGACTTGAGAAAAAGGCTGAATTTGTTAAAGCAAGAGTTAAGGTGTGGTGTCCTCAGAATGGAAGAGTCTGAAGGTGGCAGTGCAGTGTGGAGGAAAGTGAACCTAGAGCCCAAGTAGCCCGAACAGGCCTTCTGGGGGCTGCAGTGACCAGAACAAAGGGTCCACGGATAAGAACAGGCACAGGCGTCAGTGGATCTTGGAGAGGGTCAGTTCTGAGAATGTTTATCATTAACTTGGTCACTGTCTTTTTTTCCACAGGTTTCTTTGGATTCCGTTCCATAGATGTTTGTCACTGATCAGCGTTCCTGAATTGTGAAACATCAGTATGTGACCAAGGAATACTTAGTTCCTTATGACAAATAAACACTTGTGTGGACAGTAAATCTTTGCACAGTTGTTCTTATTGGTAATTTAGATCTCTTACAGTATTATCATTGACTGGAGAGTTTAACTTTGTTAACTTTGTGGAAGATAATGAAGTATTTCTTTGTTTTAACACATCTTTAATTGGACTGATAGTGAAGTCCTCCTAGGTCCTGGCTCTAAAGGGCTCTCCAGGAGTCTGCAGGAAGGACAGGACAGTCTTTCCACTGAATTCTGTGCTGAGTTTTGCTGCCTTTATCTGGTAGCCATGCTATCATCGAATAGATGAAGATCAAAATGAATTAGTGAGAAATACTTAAAATTGCTTTATTAAAGAACTGGTGTATACAGGGAGTGACCAAAATATACAGTGGATATGTTTTGTTTTGTTTTTAAAGACAAGAGTCAGTACGTATCCCCAGCTGGCCTCAAACTCCTGGTGATCCTCCTGCCTTAAGCCTCCCGAGCGGTGAGATTACAGATGTGCACCCCCATGCCTGGCTGTGCATACAGTTATTAGAGTAAAAGACACTTTGGTATTAACCCCCTTCAGAATGCTCCCCTTGGCTTCCAGCACACTGATCCCATCATTCTTGCCACTGGAAGTCCTCTTTTGTATCTTTGAGGTACGATTAAAAATATGGTGAGTGCTGCTGTCGAGTGCCATCTGATGGGAAAGCAGGGTCATTAAAAGCATTTTGCTGCTAAGCTGGGCGTGGGAGGCTGAGGCACGAGGACTGACAAGGCCAGCCTGAACCACATAGCAAGACCCTGGCTCAAAAAGACCCCCCAAAAAGCATTATGCTGTGTCCTCATCCACTTCATTCACTTGATTTGGTACCATGTGGCTTCTGACTCTCCCAAAGTTACAATGATCATGCAAGGTAAACATTTGCATTTAAGGACATTCAGTTAGCCATGACTGTGCAACTACAGATACTCATGAAAGAACTTAGAAATGCTTCAGAATGTTGGGTTAGGGTGTTCAAAGTGAATGGTAGCATGGGGAGAGGGGTTTTAATGGCAAGGTGTCTTTTACTGATTATAATTTATGTGCAATTTTTTAAACCTTCACTGTAGCTTTTGATCATGCCTCATGTAGAAATGGAATGTATCCAGAAAAAGTCATATTGTCTGCTAATAACCAGTGGTGACCTTTTCAGAGGTTTCAGAACCTTTGTTCTTTAATTGCTGTGATTGAAATGATACAAAAACTAAATTTGTGTTTATCCAAAGCTAGTTTAACCATGGATTGTTTAAGATAAGTATATTTTGCCCTTTTTAAAATTTGTGCAGAATTCTTAAGTTACACTTCAGAGCTGAGTAAAAAATTCTAACAATATACACTCAGGGTCATTCAGGGAAACCTTTTGTGCTTGGCATGCAGCGCGGCAGTAGGCAGCACTGGCCTAGCGTGTAGGCCGCCTTACGTTTGACCCTAGCCCTGAGGGAACCACCCCCCCCCCCCCCGAAAAAAATTCTAATTGTTTTCTTTTAAACAATTTTATGTAACAGTATGCAAAATTACCATAAAACATACAAGAATCAGTATATATTTACATTTTTAAAGTTACTTGAAGTTGACGAACTCACTTTCCTAATATTGTATTACATGAACAAGCCTCCATAATTAGGCTGAATTCTCCTGCCAGTCGACTTGCCAGGAACAGGGAAGCAGTGATGACTACTCACCATCCTGTTGGGACCTAAAGATAAACGGGCCTTTGAAATTGCATTTTCACAGCATTTCACATTTGTAGGTAAAAAGTTAGAGGCCCAGATTTGAAAGCACATAATCAGTAGACATGTTCCAGTTAATTAGACCACGAGATACGTACTGAACATTTTAAGGTATGTGCTGACCTAAAACTCTTCAGTCAGGCTCATTCTTGGATGTAAAATGATGCGAAGATTCTGGGAATATCCTCATGCTTCAGTTCAGCAGAGAAAACTATCTGGACTGATGTCATTAGTAGCATTAATATTGGGGAACCTGATTCCCTCCAGAGTACCAATGAGTTCTGTAATAAACCCATCTGAGCACTTCAGTCTGTTTTCATTGGCGTTTGCCAAAGGATCTACTTTCATAACAGAGAAATTGGAAAAAAAGCACTTTCTAAAATGTACCTGAACAGACAAGAGGTACAGTACTGCAGCTTTCAATACAATACAGACTTGGAGGATGTATGCACGGCAGCTAAGTGCCAAGTCAGCAGGTAAAGCAGCAGAATCCTAAGCGTTTCAAGAATGCAAACCTTTGCAGACAAGGATGCGTTAGGCAGAGGCGGTGTCTCAGTGTCCCCCCAAATGGATGCACCTGGGAATGAAACTTTGTACTCTACGGACTGACGGTGTTTTGCTGTAGAGCATTAACATCTGTGGTATGGAAATTTGACATTAAAGAGCAAAACGAATGCATTTCTGGTCAAAATACAGCATACATAAGATTGTGTTGTTTTCTAGGGAAACAGATTAGGTATAAGATGGACAAAACAATTGTTTCTTTTGTCCATCTTGTACCTAGTTTGCTTTGGGACAAATGTAAGAATAATTCATAAGTGGCTAGAAAATTGTAACTATAGAAGTGTTGACCTTCTGTGTCCATGTTGAATGTTAGAGTAACACTAGGTTGCTTGTTTCCAAAAACTGCATAATTAGAAAGCCACACCTTACTGGAGGTTCATGGGAACCCTTTCCTCAGGGCTTTATTCTTTACCATGGTAAATTTACTAACGAAGACCTGAGCAAAATGTGGGTCAACTAGATAATGGTAGGCCTTAACAGTGGAGGAGGGAGGTTCCACAGCCACCACTGGGCATGGTGTTTGCATGAAAGAGCAGCTGGGGACCAGGTGGCAAGACGTCTTTGCGATGTAGTCCACCAGTCTGTGGTACTGTTGCTCTGACAGTCTCTCTCGGACTCCATCCACCTGCAATGCAAACACATTCATTAGCCAGCCCTTTACTAGAGTTCCACAGTAAAGTTACTCCTTTTTTCTTCCTAATATATTTGAATACTACGTCTCTTAGCTCATCTATTACAGCCATTTGTCCAAAACAGTGCTTCCTTTTATTTTTCCTCTAGATGAGCAATAACTGCAATTTTAGCAGTATTACAAGAGCTCTGCATGAGAATATTAAGGCCTTTAAATAAGCACCTGGTGTTGTGTAAAACTCCCATGTTTGAAGTTGACAGTTTGATAACATTGTACTTATTAACTATTAAAACATCTGTCATTGCTCTTTACCAAGCAGCCCAGGAACAAAGAGTTAAAAATGTATTTTCCATTAAAAATGGTGGGTATAATCACCATTGTACTCAACATTCTGAAATAAGAGCTTTGTTAGGCAGGCTTTGCAAACCTCAGATAAAACCTTTTCAGACAGAACAGTGAAGAGCATCTCATTCAAACCAGTGGCTCTGGGCAGAGATTGGAAAAATAAATACCTTTTGAACTGTAACATTTGCTGTTTTTATAAATGCTAGGATGTAAAGCCAGAGAAAACAGAAAAACTGGGCAGAGGAAGGGGAAATTTTTATGGCAGAAAGGGAGGATGCAAAGTACATTTATGGTTCATAAATGTCTGGCTCATCTTCAGTAGAAAGGGGCAGAACTGAGATATACTACCTAAGTTCTTAAGTGCGATTTTCTGAGCGCGCCCATCAAAGGCTGCTGGAGCTATAAATCCTCCTCGCCCCAGTCCCGCTGCTGTCTAAGACTGGCGAGGAGGCAGAGCGGCAAGTTTGCGGCGTGAGCCACCCATCTGCGAGAAACAAGTAGCCACTGACCTTGCGGTGAGTCCGCAAGACCATTCTGAAAGAAATACAGATGTTTTACTGAGAGCTCTTTGTTCTCAAAAATGAAGCAACGTAAAGAATTTCTGTTCCTGTGTAGGGCCCAGAAACAATGCAGTCTAGAGTGTCCAAAGCTGCAAGAGCCATGAGATGGCAGGGACAGTAAGGGATCTGCCAGGGTCAGAGGGCTCCTCCAGCATCGGTCAGAGTTCAGATCGCCTCTTGTTAAACTTGAGGAAGAAAATGAAGGCCCCCAAAGACTTGAGACACATGGAAGTTGTGCACCACCATGCAGAAGCCAGAGCTCTGATATCACTCGATGGGGCTGGAATTCAGCTGGAAAGCTTTGAACACAGTCTTAATTGCTCCTCCTGAACAGCAGCACAGGAAAACCCATGTTGTGAAAGGAACCTGGCCAAGGAATAAATTGACCTTCTGACTCATTTTGAACCTCTCATAAGGGATTTCAGTAACGTGCCAGGCATATTAAGCAATTACCCCTAAAATGGCTGCATTTAACCAAGAAAAGCAAATGCTGATTTAAAAAAATCCGAATCCTGCCATATTTGAATATGCTGAGTGATGTCATCTACAAATTAGTTCCTTCCAAGATTCAAAAGAGCTGTTTCCTGGCCTCTCAGGCAAAGGCAATTAAAAAAAGCCACTTATATATAAAGAACTTAACGTACTGCTCTTGATTTTCACTGGAAGATAGCAGGTAGGCTTCTGAACCAGCTTTATGGCTGGATTATGTTGGAGGCCCTGACAAGAGCAAGGTATACACAGTCCGAGTTGGAGCACTAAGGCCTGAATGCTGTGCAACTTGAATTTTCTTTGGAGTGAAGGGGAGGTTTGGGCCATGGATTAGGCAGTTACTGTTTTTATGAATTTAGGGGCAAGACAAGGTGGAACAGATACTGAGAAGGTGAGCATGGTGCCCCAGCCACGCGGATGTCCACCCCCTGCGCTACTGGTGCTGCTGGGCATGAGCTCACTGCTTATCTTTAATGGGCGGCGTACAGTACACCTGCTCTCAGCTGTCCTGCCTGTGCTGAAGCCATTCTTTAGTCCCAACCCTCTTTTCCTCCTGGGTATCAAAGGAAAGCCTTTATTGAGTGTGGTACTAGAGCGTCAGTGCTTTCACCTCTAACTCAGTGATGCCATGGTCTCAACCTTGGCCACTTCTATGGCTGTTGCCTCTGGCTGTCTCGGTTGGCCCTGGAGA